GCGCGCCCGCGACCGCGCGCGATGGCGACGCGAATCGTCACGCGTCGACGCGCGCGCGACGATCGGGGCCACGCGCGCGGGCGACCGGGACGATGTCGAGCGAAAAATCCACGAGCGCCCTGTTCGATCTCGCGAGCGTCTCGCCGCTCGGCGTCGATCGCGCGCGATGGTCGCGCGAAAGGGGGACGACGGAATGGTCGGACGATGGGTCGACGTCGAGGGCGTTTCCGTTCATCGCGTCCCCGACGGCGGCGGTGTTTAGGCCCACGGGGGCGGCGGTCGGTCTCGCGCGCGCGTCGGCGTCGACGGCGTCGACGATGGCGGTGCCGAAAGCGGTGCCGGTGGTGGAATCGATGAATGGGACGATTCGCGCGCGGGCGCCGCGCGTGACGCGGGACGACGACGGCGACGACGACGGCGACGACGACGCGCCCGTGGTCGAGGATGGAAGCGCGGCGTTACACGAGGCGCGCGTGCGGCGCGCGCTCGACGCGGCGGCGCGAGGGGTGGACGTGGGGCGGATGCTCGCGGCGCGAGGCGGAGGCGTCGCGCGCGCGGCGGACGACGCGACGCGCGCGCCAGAGGTGACGACGACCGCGTCGGAAGAAGCGACGACGAATGATTTGGTGGAGATGGGCGTGGTGGAGACGATGACGACGACGCCGTCGCTGGAGACGGTGCACGTCGAGGAAGATGAAGACGCGTTCGAGCGCGCCGTCGCGCGGGCGCTCGAAGCGGCGACGCGCGCGCCGAACACGCCCGTGGAGAAACAGCCGCTCGAGCGCGCGGTGCCGAGGAGAGCGTTCGATGGGAAACTCAAGGTGAAATCTCCCGAGAAGTACGCGACCGTGGAGCGTCCGCGAATGGACCCGGCGCGCGAGGCTTTGGACTTTGAGGCGAAACTCGAGGCGGCTATGCGAGCCGCCGAAGCCGGGGGCGATTTAAGCGCGATTTTGAGCGGACCGTCGGTGAAGATAGCGCGCTCGCCGATTGGCACTGCTAGCGCGGAGTCGCGCGTGAATTACCGCGAGCTTGGATTCACCAAGGCGGAGAGAGAACATCATCGCTTACACGTAGCGGGATCGAGAGAGGCGTGATTAAGCGCGCGCGTTGCGACTAAAACTACAAACAAAATGCGATGTAAACGCGTTCCCATCTATTCGTTCATCCGTTCGATCTCTTATGCTTCGTCTCCTCGAGAAGAACGAAGGGGGTCAACTGCTGCATGTCGATGACGATCCTTCCTCCGTGTCGCACGCCGAGCTTGGTCGCGAGTTTGGTGACCACGGCGACGCCGTTGACGCCCCCCTCTTCGTTCGCCCACTCGTCGGGCCAAAGGAATTTGGCGCTCGCTAACCATTTTTCAGCCTCACTCGCGCGCTGCGGCCCGCTCGCACGGAGGATGCTCGAGTATCGCGCGTGCAGCACAGCGCACAGATGTCTCGCCTCGTAATCGAGCTCGCCCACGTGCGCGTCCTCGACAGGATTCGGGTAGTGCATGAGCTTCAGAGCCGACTTGTACAATCCTTCGGCAAACATGACCCCGGCACCGTCGCCCATTCCCGCTTCCGCCGTGGACGCTCGAAGAGCTTTTGCGACGTACACGTCGCCGCTCGTGGCAATGGCAACGCCGACGCGCGGATGTCGCTCATCACCTAGCGCTTCCGCACCACTCAGAGCTGTCGCCGCGGCGGTCTCCGCGCTTTCCAAGTCACCCGTCTCGGCGTAGACTTGTGCCAGTGCGAGCGAGCAATCTACCTTGATCTCATCCGCGATGTACCGAGACGCCATCGCGCCCACGTGTTCACTCCGAGAGACGTACTCGGCGTACTCTGACGCGCGCTCGTACAACTCCAAAGCTCGTCCGGCATCGCCTCGCAATCGTTCAACGTGTCCGAGCGTCTTCAACGCCGTCGCCACCGCCCACCCGTGGGGTGATTCCTGCGCGAGCTCCAAATTCTCGTCCGACAAATCCCGAGCGACCGCGTCGCATTGCATCGCCGCCTCGAGCGCGTCCGCCTGTCGAAACCGCGTCAGCGCGCTCAGCGCTCTCGCTCCTAACACTGCCGTCCGAGTTCCATCCCCATCCCTGGCCTTGACATCGCCTCCATGTAACATTGCGTCGATCGCTCCCCACGGCGTCTCCGTCGGCTTCGTTCGCGCGTCCAACAGCGCCGACATCGCGATCGTCGACGCTCGATCCCCCGCGCTCGTCGCGAGCGCCCTCGCGCGCTCCATCGCATCCCTCGCGCTCGCCGCATCGCCTCTTCCACGACACAGAAAACCCCACGTCGTCAAGACCCGCCCCGCGGCGTCTCGCGCTCTCGCATCCGTCTCCGAAGCCGCCGCGCGCGTCACCGTTCCCTCCCCTCGCTCCAAGATCCCCCGTCCCGCGTCTCGGTCGCCCACGCATCGATAAAAACCACATCCCAGCTTCCGTCAGTCACACGTTCCCATCGTCGTCGTCGTCGTCGTCGTCGTCGTCGTCGCGTCCGTCGCGCAGGCGACCTCGCCTACCTCGTCTCCACGCGTCGACCGCGAACGAAATCATCCCACGCGCGACCGCCTCCGCGGGCGCGTCGTCGTCGGACGTCGCGCGCGTCCGCGAGAGACGCGCGCGCGTCCACGCGCGCGTGGTCCACCGCATGGGGTCTCACATTGACGTCACATTGACTTTTGGACGTCTCGACGAGCCTCGGGGCTCGGCACACCCGGGTGTTTCGAGAATGTTCAAGAACATCCAGGTGACGTCCCCGCGCGACCCCTGACGACGCCTCGCGACGATGAGCGCGAACACGGAGACGCTGGAGACGCTCAGACACCTCGTGCGCGCGGTGCGAGAGGACAGCGCGATCTTGGACGCGCCGAGCATGAAGTTTTTCAAGGATTTTCTCGTCGATGATTTGCGAGCGACGATTCCAGCGCCGAAGCCGAGGATGGTGGACCCGGCGGCGGATGACGCGGTGGATGATGCGGAGAGAATGGTGGCCGAGAGCGATGCGCCGCTCGAGATGGGCCCGGACGCGATGCCGGAGGAGTTGAGCGAGGAATCTGAAAACGCGGCGCTCGAGGCGAAGCGAAAGGCGGCGGACGCGGCGTCGAGTGGGAAATACGACGTCGCGATCGAACAGTACACGATCGCGTTGAAGATTTTACCCTCGCCGCTGACGTACGCGAAGCGGGCGGAGTGCTCGTTGAGGGCGAAGAAGCCGCTGGCCGCGATTCGAGACTGCGACGCGGCGTTGAAGGCGAATCCGGACAGCGCGAAGGCGTTGAAGATTCGAGGCGCGGCGTATCGGTACCTCGGGAAGTGGAACGACGCGAACCGAGATCTCTCCGCGGGTTTGAACGCCGATTTCGACGAGCATTACTCGGAAATTCATAAAAAAGTTCTCTCCGTCGTGCACGAGGCGCACGTGCGCGAGGGGAAGAGGCGGGCGGCGAAGGAGGCGGAGCAAAAAGCTGAGCTTGAGCGAAGACGTGCCGCGGCGGCGGAGGCCGCGAGAAAGGCGAGCGAAGCGGCGAGCGGTGCGGGCTCGGCAGATGCGGGAGCCACGGGTTCGGCGGGCGGAGCCGGGTTTGACCCGGGCGACATGCCGTTGCCGCCGGGCATGACGCCGGAGATGGCGGCAAAGCTCGCACCTTTGATGAACGACCCGGAGATCAAGACGGCGATGCAAAACCCGAAGGTCATGCAAGCGCTTCAGTCTATGATGTCCAACCCAATGTCGGCGATGCAATACATGGCGGATCCAGACGTTGGTCCGGTGCTCCAAAAGCTCATGGCCGCCGTCGCGGGCGGCGGCGGCATGGGTGGCATGCCGGGTATGGGTGGCATGGGCGGTATGCCGGGTGGATTTCCGGGTGGTTTCCCGGGCGCCGGCGGATTCCCAGGCGCCGGTGCCGGCGGCAGCTCGGCCAACGACGTCGACTAGACTCGCTCGGCTCCATCGCAGCCGAACGAAACAAAACATATCGGCAGGAAACAATGCCGCGCGCGGTTTCAACACGAATGATGTCATCTCACGAATAACTTTTAATACCGAGACGGTTTCACCACACCGCGACCTCACCACGACCAGTACCGGACCGACCGATCCACCGCCTCGCGCGCGCGTTGCGCCGAGCCGAAAAACCATCATCTAGTGATCTCGTCACTTCACTCCGTCACCCGTTGACGCGTCGCTCAAAATGGCGTCCGCCGAATCTGGCGGCTCCCGCCTCGATCGCCTGATCAAACTCATCGACACCGGGAGCACCGCGGACGCGAGACGAGAAGCGGCGAGACAAATCGGTGAACTCGCTGAATCACATCCTCTGCAACTCGCGGGACTTTTACGACGATTGCGCACGCACTTGCGGAGTAAGAAGTGGGAGACGCGCACGGCAGCGAGTGCGACGATGAGCGAGATCGCGTCGAGGCTGAAACACCCGACAGTTGAGGATTTAGAGCGAACGGAGAAGGAATTCGAACACTCCGCGGTAAAGGTGGAGACGTCGAGCGGACGGGCGGGAGAAGGTCCGACGTTCGATAAGAGCGATGCCTTAGATCTAACGTTCGCAAAGTTTGATGTGGAACGAGTGCTGGAAAAGGCCGGGATCTTGCTGAGCGCGAGCGGAGCTGCGTTCACGTTGGAGCACGGACCGGGGACGAAGGCTGAGCGACTGGCGCAGGCCAAGGCGTCGCTAAAGAGGCGGCTCGGGATGGAGCTCGGTCCTGAGGCAGGGGCGATGATGGATGAGAACATGAAGATGAGCGATTTGGTAAAAGATGAGGATCTGTTGGACGACGGGAAGGTAACGGTGAAGGAGAAGGTGGCCGTTGGGGACAGCGCCGCGGAGGCGGTCGACGGTTTGACTGGAGACGTCGATTACAGTCATCTGAGCGCTCGGGAGCTGAACAAGCTCAAGCGCAAGGCGAAACGAATGTTGCGCGAAGGTCATGACCCCGCGGATGCAAAGCGATCGAAGAAGGACGAGGAAGAGGCTCGATTGGAGCGTGAGCGCGCTGAGGCGGAAGAGGACGATGAGGAGCAGGCGGAAGTCGCCGCCGGCGGTTGGCCTCTCTCGCGCACGTGCGAGTCCTTGGCGTACATGATGTTCTCCGAGGGCTGGGAGGAGCGACATGGCGCCGCCGCGGCGCTGCGTGAGGTCTTGCGTCATCAGGCGGCTTGCGCGGCGGTTTGGGCGCCTCCGCCCGGCGTCAAGCTCGAGCCTGGCACCGTGGAGGCGGCGCGGGATGCGAATGCGCACTGGTTGGAAGACATGTGCGTGCGCTTGCTTTGCATCTTAGCGCTTGATCGTTTCGGCGATTTTGCCGGCGATGGTGCGGTCGCACCCGTCCGCGAGACGTCTGCGCAAGCGCTCGGCGCGGCGCTTTTGCCACTTTCGCCCGCTGCCGTAGACGCCGTTGTCGCATGCACACTCACGCTTTTGTCGCGCCCAGAGTGGGAAGTGCGTCACTCCGCCCTACTCGCGCTGAAGTACATTCTCGCTGCGAAGTCGGAGCTGGCGCTGGATTTGTTGCCCGCCGCTCTGCCCGCAGCGATCAAGGCGCTCGTGGATGCGGACGATGACGTGCGAGGCGCCGCTGCGGAGTCCTTGCTGCCGGCCGCAGAGCACTTGCCGACGCATCCGAAGTTCAACGAGCTCTTGCATTCGCTCTGGAATCTTCTTAACGAGCTTGATGATCTCTCACCGAGCGCGGTGCCCGTGATGAAGCTCATCGCCAAACTGTATGCGCTCGAATCCACTCGCACGGCATCTGCCGTTGAACTCTCCGAAGTCGTGCCTCGACTTTGGCCGTTCGCTGCGCATCCGATAGCAGCTGTCCGTTTTGCGGTCTGGCAGACGCTTTGTCGGCTGTTAACGGTAGAGCCGGACTCATCAAAGGCGTTGTGGGTGCAAGAAGCGTGCGCGCCGGCGATGCGTCACGCGCTTCAGGGTGCGCTTCTCGATGTTGACGTCGCGAGCGCCGAAGCCGCGAAGGAGGCATGGCTCGCTCTTCTGCGTACCGTGCCGATCGCCATCATCGAAGCCACGTTCATGGTACACGGTGGTAAATGGTTCGAGCTGGTGACGACGGTTACAAATGCTCGCGCTGAGGGAAAGCTCATTTTTGTCTCCACTCCACCGAGCGTCAAAGGAGAGATTCGCGCGGTGGCCAAGGATTGGCCCGCAGGAACGGTTGGACGAATGCGAGGCTTGGATTGTCTCGCGCATCTCGCCTCGGAGTTCGGGAAGCAAAACCGCGCGAGCTCGGTGGAGCGGACAGAGCAGCACACCGTGACCATGCTGACGGCGGAGCATGCCACGGCGCGCCTCGCAGGAGCGTACCTCCTCACGTTTTGGCTTCGCAACGTCCCGCCAGGGCCGCAGAGACCGACGCTCCAGGCTCCAGGCGGACAGCTCGGATTGATTTTAGCAAATACTAATCCAGCATATCCGAGCGCGCCGTCGCCGACACCGTACGGCGAAGTGGCGCAAATGGTCAAGTATGTCAAGAGCGAGTCCATGGCGTTCTTGCGCGTTGCCGCAACGAACGGAGTCTCGGTGACGGGTGAAGTTCCGAGTCCAGAAGCGGATGGTTTCGGCGCAGATTCCGCTTCGACGCTCTCAGCAGCTGTTCCACAGGTATGTTTTGTTTCATTCTTCGCGTCGCGCTTGTTTTTCTACTTTCGGAGCGTGCTCGTATCGTCGTCGCCATTACGAGTGAATGACGACGCGAGCGTTTGCTCGGGGTATCGCATGTGGAAACGCGTGTGCCCAATACTTCGTGCATCGGACGACTTTGCGTCGTGTCCAGCTCCAACATAAACATTGAGAGTCACAGGTTTCCTCAGTACTAGCATTGGCTGAAGAGAAGTATGCGTTCTCAAACATCCCCTAGTCTTCGACTGCGCGACGATGACTGACGGCTCGTTGTAAACGCACTCGCAGACGGACAAGGAAGCCGTAGAATCGGCTAGAAGCTCGTTGCATGCCTCTGTGCAGCGACTGCGAGACACAGAGTCAAGACTCCACGGGTCGGTGCTCGCATCGGCCGCGGGAGCGGCGATAAGTTTCGGTGCGTTGCCGCCGAAGCTCAATCCGTTCATTCAGCCTTTGATGGCGTCTGTGCGCCGCGAGCGAGATGTCGAGCTTCAACGGCGAGCCGCGGCTTCCGTGGCGGCCATGATGAAAATTTGCGTCACTCGAACGCCGTCACCGAACGATAAGCTGATGAAGAACGTCACGGCGATGGTTTGCGGTGATGAGGCGGAAACACCAAAGGCAGGATCGACGGAGGATATCGACGAAGAGGAGCTCGCCGCCGCGAAGAAGAAGAAAACGAAGTCTGTCGCGGGAATCGTTGAAGAGGAAACGATCAGTGATGCCGCCGTCGCGCGCCTCGGCGGGGAAGCTGTGATTCGCGCGGTGTCGAGCACATTTGGCGCGGACGCTTTAGCACAAATCAGCGCGTTCCAAACGCTGTTGATCAAACCAATTACGCAAGCTCCGCCTGAGTCGGCGTCGCCCGAGGCGCTACAAACTCTCATCGACGCTTTGCAACTGCTCAAGGTGTTAGGTCCCGAAGTGCATGTATCTTTGGAACCAAAAATCATTGACCTCACCAAGGCGGCGTTCCCAGCTGCGTTGTACGGCGATGTTGCCGTTCGAAAGACGGCGGCGAAGACTGTCGCCACTATCGCATCAAAACATCCAGAGCAAGTCATTCCTGCTTTGCTGGACTTCATCGTGCCGAAACTTGAGCAGGGTGAAGCGGCGTCTCAGACGTGGAAGCGCTCGGGCGCCGTTGGTCTTGCGAGTGAACTCGTGAAGCATCTAGGCTCGGCTCTCGCACCGTATTGCGTGTTGTTGCTCGTACCGCTCATGGGTCGCATGAGCGATCCCGATTTACGTATTCGCGGTTTGGCGACAAGAGCGTTCGCGAACCTGGTTCCATTGCTTCCGCTCGCGGCCGGTAAGCCCCCTGTTGATGCGTTGACTCACAAACAAAAGGAACGGTCCATCAAGGACGGCGAGTTTCTCGAAGCGCTTCTGGACAACAGTAAGATTGAAGATTTCAAGCTGCCTTTCAAGTGCGCCCGAACGCTGCGCCCCTATCAGCAAGACGGCGTCAACTGGCTTGCCTTTCTGCGCCGATTCAAGCTACACGGTGCGTTGGCGGACGACATGGGCCTCGGCAAGACGCTGCAGTCGACATGCATATTAGCGGCGACGACGGTTGAACGCAAGCGAGACGGGTTGAAGAAACTCCCTCACTTGGTCATCTGTCCAACGACGCTCGTCAGCCACTGGGCGTACGAAATCAGCCTCTACGTGGAGCCGGACGTGCTGCGACCGCTCGAGTATCAGGGAAGCCCGCCAGAGCGACTGGCGTTACAAAAGGACTTTGGTAAGTATGACATCGTGATAATGTCGTACGAGTCTCTGCGCGCGGATTTCAATACGCTCGATAGTTTTGATTGGTGCTACTGCGTCCTGGATGAAGGACACGCGATTCGTAACCCGAAGAGCCGCGTCACGCAAGCGGTGAAGAAAGTTCGCGCCGAACATAGACTGCTGCTTTCCGGCACGCCAATTCAAAACGACGTCGTAGAGCTTTGGAGTTTGTTCGATTTCCTGATGCCTGGCTTCCTCGGCACGGAACGCGAGTTCAAGTCGACTTACGGAATCGCTGCCGCTCGTTCGGCGGCGGCGAAGAAGGGCGGCGGTTTAACAGAACAAGGCGCGCTCGCCACCGGTGCATTGCATAAACAGGTCATGCCATTCGTCATGCGCCGTACTAAGGACCAAGTGCTCAAGGACCTACCACCGAAGATTATTCAAGACGTCTACGTCGATCTGACGGCGGCTCAGCGCAAGATGTATGACTCGTTTGAGTCAAGCGACGCCAAGTCAGCGGCTGTGAGCGCCGTCGAGGGCGGCGGGAACGCGGAGGGCGCGGCGGCGCACGTGTTCCAAACGCTCCAGTATCTGCGCAAGCTCTGCTCACACCCGAAGCTCGTTTCCGACACGACAAGCAAGAAGTTTGATCCGGATATGCGTTCGCCGAAGTTCGACGCGTTGAAGCAGATTTTGATCGACTGCGGCATTGGCGTCGACGTAGAGGAAGAAAAGGCGAGCGGTGAAGATGCGAAACCGAATCCGGCGGCCGGTGCAGGACATCGCGTTCTGGTGTTCTCCCAGCTCAAGAGCTTGCTCGACCTGGTGGAGACTGAACTCTTCACAACGCAGATGCGAGACGTGAGCTGGCTCCGCCTCGACGGGAGCGTTGCTCCGTCTCAACGCTTCGATGTCGTGCGCAAATTCAACGCCGATCCATCCATCGACGTACTCCTGCTTACCACGCACGTCGGTGGTTTAGGTCTAAACCTCACTTCGGCCGACACCGTCGTTTTCCTCGAGCACGATTGGAACCCGCAAAAGGACTTGCAAGCGATGGACCGCGCGCACAGACTCGGGCAGCGCAAGACGGTGAACGTCTATCGCATTCTTACCCGCGGTACTCTCGAGGAGAAGATCATGTCTCTCCAGCGCTTCAAGCTCGACGTCGCGAACGCCGTGGTGAATGCCGACAACGCATCCATGAGCGCCATGGACACCGGTCAAATGCTCGAACTCTTCACCGCAGAGAAGGGCGCTAAACTCGGCAAGGATGGCGAGCCCGTCGCAAAGGGCGCCGCCGCCGCCGCCGTCGGCGCCGCCTCGGGTGGTCTCGCCAACATCGTCAATGGTTTAGAGGAGATGTGGGACGAGGCGCAGTACGCCGAGGAATTCGACGTGGACGATTTCGTCTCAAAGCTCAAACAGAAATAGACAGCGAAACGCTGACGAGGCGTCCACCAACCGGTTTGTAACGCGCCGCCATAGAATGTTCAAGCAGCACACGCCGACGCCATGCGCGTCGGCGTTTCGTCCGAACGCGCGTCTCCACCCATCCCCACGTCGCGTCATGCGAGGCAGATCTCACCGCCATCGCGCGCCGTGGTCGTCCCGCGCGCGTCTCGCCGCCGCTCGGATGCAGAATCCTGCCCACCAAACGACCGAGAGATCTCTCGCGTCCCTCGCGCCCGCGCCTCGGCGTCGCGCGCGCCGGACGCGCGGACGGAAGAAACGACGTACTTAGGGTTCGCCGATGTCAAAGAACGAGAGCTCGTGACGTTTTGGCGCGAGTACGCGGAAGCGAATGATCGAACGACAAAGGCGTTGGTCGAGCGGGCGCGCGGACGGGAAGAGTTGGGCGACCCGGTCGCGATCGCGCGCGCCGGTGATTTGTTGCGGGCGCTGTTGCCAGACATTGACGTCTGTAGCGTGTTCGAACGCGAACCAGGGGCTGTGCGGTTGGAATTTAGAGACGCGAGCAAGCGCGTGTTGGCGTTGCAAGACGTCTTGTGTTCGAGCGACTTGTGTCGAGACGTCACGTCGTTGGTGGAGCGGCATCCGACGCTGTTGTTAGTGGATGACATCGAGGCGCACATCGAGCGCGCGGTGGCGAAGCTGGCGAGCTTGGAACCGCGGTGCGACGCGCGGTCGATCGTCTCGGAGTTTCCAGAGTTGATTTACAGAATACACTCGTACGATTACGTCGAGAGCTTACCGATTAGCATCCAAAACATGTTGCTCGACAGCGCGAGCGAGGACGAGGCGAGGATCGAGGATTACGGTGCGTGTGTTCGCGCATGGAGGCGATCGAGCGACTGACGAATGACACGTTTTTTTCTCAAACCAGAGCGCGCGTGGAACGAGCGCGAGCGAATCAACCGCGGCGACGTCGACGACCCGTTCGACGACCAAGCCCTGGATTGGACCGTCGACGGCTACTACGAAGGTCCGTCCCACGAAGGTCCGATCGCCGACTGAGCCCCCGACGCCGCGCCGCGCGCGCGCAACCGAGCCCATAGCTATTCCCAGCCTTGTATCAACGTTTTCGCGCCCGCCTCCGCTCCGGCGACGCAAAGGGGAACCAAACGTCGTTTGATGTCGCTCACCGCACTCATCGACGCGTGTGATCGTCATGCCCGCCCTGAACGACGCGACGAACCGGGTACGGGCGACGCGCACGATCGCGCGCGACGACGTCTGGGCGCGTCGACGGCGGCGTCCGGCGTCGCGCGTCGACGACGACAGTTGCGATCGGCGCCGCGGTGTCGTCGAGTGTCGATTCAAAACCTCGAACGTTCCCCCGACGACGCCGACGCGGTCGTCGCGTCGATGATCGCGATGATGACCGCGAATGACTGACGAGAGCGCGTCGACGCGCGCGCGCGCAGGGTAAGCGGTCGTCGCGGTCGACGGTTGGGAAACGGAACTCGGACGCGAGCGCGCGGGAGACGACGCGACGCGCGTCGGGCGGACGCGGGTCGAACGGGAACGGTGCGTCGACGGCGTCGTTCAGCTCGGTGCCTGACGTGAGCAAGGACACGGGGTTTACGGGGGTGTCGAATTCGCCGCCTGGGTTGGAGCCGACGCCGCAGACGCGAGGGCCGGTGGGGCGGAAATTGAGCTCAGGGTCGAGCGCCGGGTCGACGGATGGGCGGGCGGACGGCGTGTCGACGTCCTCTTTGCGATCTGGGAGCTCGGGGACGACCGAAGCCACGCGACGATCGTCTCGAGAGCGCAAGGCGACGAATAAGTTCGGTGAGTTTCAGAGCTGGGAGTCTGTCGCCGCGGATGAGGTGCCGCCGTCTCCGGCGTTTGTCGGGAATCCGAGACAAAGGCAGGCGTACCTCGAGGCGTACGCGAAGAACATCTACGAACAAGAAGTGGCGGAGCGAAAGGCGAAGGGCGATGTCGTGGACGACACCGTAGATGATGTGCGCAGCCGCGTCGAGCAGCTCATGAATGCTGCGAACGAGATGTTGCCAGACTACGCGCCGTCGCCCGCGAAGAGCTTGCACGCAAAGAGCTTGCAAGAGCAGTTGCGCGAGTCTTGGAAGGGAAGAGATTATTACTCGAAGCTCATGGCGCAGATGGCGTCGCCGTCGCCCGCGAGACCGAGCATGCGACCGCCACACATGCAACGCTTGCACCAAGGCACGAACGGGGCGGCAGCGGCGGCCAACAGAGCCAAGCAGGCTGAGGCGCAAAAGCAGCAAGCCGCACTCGCCAACATGTCGGGTAACGCGCTCAACGGTTTCGGCGGTGGTGGCGGCGGGTACATGTTTGCGAATCTGGTCAAGCGACCCGAACCTGCTCCAGTACCGGTACCGGTGGCGCCCGCAGCTCAGGCGAAGGCGGCGACCAAGACAAAGCGCAAGAGCGGCGATATTATGCCACCGCCTGGGCCGAAGCGCGGGTCAGACAAGTCACCAGAATCGGCGAAGAGCGAGAGCTCTGTGGAGATGGAGATCGTGGCGAATTCTGTCAAGAAAATTGAGCAAGCGATGCGAAGAATCTCCATGTCGCCGGCGCCGACGAGGCTCGCATTCACGACCCACGCCTCGACAGATTCGAACTCTCCGGGCATGTCAGGCATGCAACTCAAATTTGATTCTCCGAGTGATTCGAGCGTGGACGTCGACGCGGTGCTAGTCGGAGATGACATGGAGGCGATGCGCAAGGCGATTAGAGATCTCCGCCGTGAGAATGAAGAGTTGCGGTCGAAGTTGGTCGAGACGCAGAGAGATGCACGCAGCGCCGGCGCGCGCGTCTCGGGGAGTGTCATCGCTCAGGCGAAAATGACGGAGCACGAATTCAGCCGGAAGTTCTAAATGTGAACCTTAGATGATGATACGCTGAAATGAATCACGGATATTTGATTAAACAATGTCATCGCGTGCGTCGCTATTGATACTAATAATGAATAAATCACGCTGCTCGCTCGGCGACTACCTCGGCTTTCTGTGAGAAGAGCTCGGCTTGAGGGATGAAGAGCCCAGCGCTCTCGATGTGATGGACGAGTCTCCGCAAGAAGTCGTCACTTTTTATCGTTTGATCGTCTCCGATGATGGCGACTTGTCGCTTACCGCGAGTCACCGCGACGTTCATGCGTCTGCTGTCGGACAAGAAGCCGACTCGTCCTGCACCGTTCGAGCGCACGGTGGAAATGATGACGCACTCCGCCTCGCGCCCTTGGAACGAATCCACTGATGACACATCAACCACCCGATCGTCCGCGAAGTCTTCCAACGTTACCGCGATCATGCTCCTAAGCAGACGGACCTGCGCCGCGTATGGAGAAATTACCACGATATCCTTCGCTCGTACGCCGGCTTTGAGTAGCATCTTCACGTGAGCCATCGCAGTCTTCGCCTCACCCTCGTTGATGTACGAGCCACCGACTCGCCGCTCGCTGTACTCGGAAGGTATGCGACCTTGTGGCGATCGAGTCGTAATCATGAGCATGGGTGTCCGCGTCAACACAGTGTCTTGCACTCCCGGCAAATCTCGGAGCAGCGCCCCGCGAACGGAGTCAGCGGCGCGTAGACGCCCCGCGTACGCCTCCTTACTCGACCACGAGCTTATCGCTTCGTGCGAACGATACTGCGTCGATAGCGTCAGAGTTAAGATCCCATCTGACACTCTCGCAGAGCTCTCGTCGTCTCTAAGCGGGAGCGTCTCGGCCGAGGGCATTAGTCTGGACATGAGCGATCTCGCTAGTCCCGCCTCGATGGCTTCGCGAGAGAGAATGACTGGCGCGAGCTGGCACGGGTCGCCGATCAGGATGGCTCGCTTCCCACGAACGAGCGGAATCCAACTCAGCGGTTCGCTCGCTTGTGCGGCCTCATCAATAACTACTAGATCGAAGGGCGGTAACGTTTGCAACGCATCCAATCCCGCGCCGGCGTTTGTCGTGAGCACTACGTTTGCCTCGCGAACGATCTTCGTCTGCGCCGCTTTCCGATGCTTCGTGCCACCGCCCACAATCGACTTGAGCTTCCTTTTTGTCGCCTCGATCTCGCCTTGAAGCTTCTCTTTCACAGCACTGGGGACGTTTGTCGCCTTCTGGTATCTCTCCATCAACTCTCGCAGTGTCGCCGACGTCTCGCTCGAATCAACACGTTGCTTTTGGAAGTACGCCTCTGTGGCCTCTGCCACCTTGGCATCTATGGAGCAAGAAAGCGCTGCAGCGCTTATGCGCTCGGGAGCTCCGAATCTCACCGCACGCACTGCGTCGATACCGTCCAGACGCTCGACCAAGTTATCCACCGCGAGATTGCTCGGCGCGCAGGCGAGAACGCGCTCGCCTCTCGCGCACGCTTGCGCAATCATCTCGATGACAACTGCCGTCTTACCGGTACCGGGAGGACCTTGCACGCAGACGACGGGATATTTCTTCGTCGACGCCGCTCTGAGCGCCAAGATTTGCGAGTTATCGAACGTTACGCCCGTGACGCTCCGTCGTTCGACACGACTGAGCGACTCCGCCGCGACCGCCTCGACGTGCACGCCATCACCTCCGTCGAAACCACGTGCGTCGCGCCAGAGCGTTGGGCGATTCTCGTGAAAGATCGTGCGAACGATGCGCGCGCACGCGGGCTTCGAGCGCTTCACCGCGGGTATGGAGGCGAGGATGTTTAGCGCGCGTCGCTGCCGCTCGTACGTCGTCTCATCCGGAGCGCGCGACAGGCAAACTTCCAGCCCAGAGAGCGACGTCGCGAGCGCCCGTTCGTCCCCTTCGTACTCGAGCGTGATTGAACCCGCGTCGCCGTATCGTCCGATCGCATCTTTACCCAGCGCGTCCCCCATGAATCGAACCGTCGCCTGCGCCGGGGCGATATCGCCGAGTCGCTCTTGCGTCGCTTCGTCCGCGTCGTACGACCCCGACACGAATCCGACAGCCGAGATTGTCACCCTATCACCCACCGTGAGCGCGTTCACGGGAATATCCTTCCCATCCGTCGCTCGTAGCACCAAGAGCGCTCGTCCGTCGCCGCCTCGCGTGGCGCCGACGAGCCGCAACCCAGACGCGCGCATCTCCCGCTCGGCGAGTGATTCCTCATCGAAATCCGACGCTTCACCGTTAAACTCATCCATGGAACTCGACGACGCGAGCTCACACGCGCGTTCGATGTCCAACAGCTCCTGACCGACGTCGACGTGACGCGCGACCCGAGCGCGGAGCGCCGCGTTCCTCGAATCACCCGCCGCGTCGTCCTCGGTCACCCTCATCGACCCATTCGGCGTTTTCCGCACCTCGCCGTTCTCGCTCATCGCCCACGCGCGCGCGAATCTCTCGCTTCGTCGCGCCTTCGCCTCGTCCCCATCAAACGCCGTCTTCAACAACCCCAACGCCGCGTCCCGAAACAACGGCGCCGTCGTCTCCCGATGCGCCCGCGCGACCGCCGCCTCCGCCGTCGGCGCCGCGCCGCGCGTCCCGCTCGCGCGCACGATTTCCCTCGTCAAGTCAAACCCCTCCACGTCCGCCGCCGTCGCGCTCTCGATCGCCCACGTCGCGACGTCCGCGATGACCGCGCGCAACCACGCCTTGGCGTCGCGTCCACCGAGCGCGCGCGCGCCCTTCGGTCCTCGCCCGAGCGTCTCCACCGCGACGCGTTCGAGCTCGCGCGATGGCGTCGACGCGTCATCCATCGCGCGCGCGCGCCAGAGCGTCGCGCGCGCGCGATCAACGGGACGACGGGCGGGACGGAGACGTTCGCGGGCCATCGCCGCGCGCGCGAGCGCCGGCGTCGCCATCGCGCGCGTCGAGCGCTGGGCATCGCGCGCGACGGCGACACGGTGAAACTAGGGTATAGGGTATAGGGTTTAGGGGTTTAGGGGTTCGACCCGCGCGCGACGCGAGCGTCTCGCGCGCGTTCGCCGCGCGCGATGCCCAGCGCGGCGGCGCTGTCGCACGGGATCTTCCGCGTCGCCTTTGAGCGCGCGCTCGATGACGTCGCGGAATCCATCAGCGCCATCGCGCGCGCGGTGACGACGACGAACGCGGCGATAGAGACGCCCGGTGCGAATGATGATCCCACGACGACGACGTGCGCGGACGCGCTGCGATCGTGGACGCGGTTTCGAGCGCGATACGCGAATCACACGCGAGCGGAGGACGAGGTGCTGTTCCCGACGATCGCGACGAGGATCGATAACGTGACGAATTCGTACGAGTTTGAGCACGAGGCGGAGGAGTGGTTGTTCGCGGAGGTCACGACGACGCTGGAGCTGTGCGCGCGGATGGGAGCGAGGGATGAGAGCGATGACGACGCGTCGACGAGCGTGCGAAAGGCGGCGCGGATCGCGCACGCGACGCGGACGACGCTCAAGGCGCACTTGCAAAAGGAGAGCGAACACGTGGTGCCGCTCGTGGAACGGGCGTTCGATCGACGGGAACAAGGGGAGATGGTGTGGCGGTTCGTGAGCGCTCTGGGAGGGGATTTGGGATCGGTCGAACGCGTGAAGACGATTCGGGAGATGCTGGAGTGGGCGGCGATGACGAGCGATGACGAGACGGTGGACGCGCTGGAGCGGGAACTCGGAAACGCGGCGGACGGAGACGCGGCGGCGGCGTTGAGACGGGCGTTCAAGGGCACCGAGCGCGACGCCGCGCTGAAGGTTCCAATCTTACGCGCTCTGTTCACCGCGGGACAGGAGAAGACGGAGGAGGAGACCGGGCAGGAGGGCGCGAGCGGTCGCGTGGAGACGCACGAACCAGCTAGGAAGAGACGCCGTCAAGCCGCCGGGACGTCGGGTACGACGACGGAGAGCGAAGTGCAAAAGATGCTGCCGATCGATCACATCTTCCAATTTCACGGCGCGCTTCGAAATGAACTCGCGAGATTAGAGCACGACATTTTGGCCATTTCGAGCACGGGCACGGCGGCGGAGGATGGGCGCTTGGTGCGAATGATCGACGCGCGATTCGTCTTCTTGCGAGGGGTTTACGAGGCGCACTCGAAGTCCGAGGACGACATTGTTTTTCCCGCGCTCGAGGCAAAGAGCGCGCTGCACAACGTGTCTCATGCGTACACACTCGATCACCAACAAGAGGCCACGCTCATCGCCACCGTCGTCGAACTCATCGCCGAAATGCGATCGTCCGTCATGGGTGAGACCGGTTCGAAGAAGGGTTTCCGAGAAGGTCTCGTGAGCGACATTCAACAGGCGTGCGTGGCCATGCGCGTGTCGCTCGAGACGCACGTCGCCAAGGAAGAGTCGGAGCTTTGGCCGCTCTTCGAGAAACACTTTAGCTTTGAGGAACAGGAGAAAATCGTGGGCAAAATCATCGGCAGAACGGGAGCGGAAGTCTTGCGTTCGATGCTCATGTGGGTGCGAGGATCTATGAATGATGACCAGCGCGAAGGGATGATTTCGTCCGTGCGGCACGCGACGCAGAATACGCGCTTTGCACAGTGGATGAACACGTGGTACAGCGGCAAGGACATCGAGCCCGCTGGAGATGACTGGGTAAAGGACGGGGAAGTAAAGACAGACGCAATCGAAGACGCGGCAAAAGACGGGATGCAACAGGTGCACGCCTTTCTCAGCACTCGAAAAGGAGAGCAAAACTTGGATAAGGAGACGTTTAGACCGGGATGGGAAGATATTTTCCGTATGAATCAGATTCAGCTTGAAGACGCCGTGCGCGCTGTGAATCGAGACGACACGATCGAGCCGACGAAGAAAGCCTACCTCATTCAAAACTTGTTGGCATCCAGATGGATCGTCGGAAATCAGTTGCAGGCACAAAAGGACAAGTCGGGTGGCGGCGATAGCGCCCCGTCGACGATTTGTGAGCCCGTCGAGGCAGGGGCGGTGCGCAAGGACGGTTGCCGCCACTACGAACGCCGTTGCCAAATTGTTGCGCCGTGCTGTAACCAGGCATTTACGTGTCGGTTCTGTCACGACGACGCGAGCGATCACACCGTGAACAGATATGCGGTGAAGGAGATGATTTGCACCGAGTGCTCGACCAGGCAGCCGGTGAACGATAAATGTGTCAACTGCAGCACGGTGATGGCGAAGTATCACTGTCGAGTGTGCAATCTTTTCGACAATTCGAGCGTGGCCATATATCATTGCCCGTTTTGCAACGTATGTCGACGAGGAAAGGGTCTCGGCGTCGATTTCTTCCACTGCATGAATTGCAACGCCTGCGTGAGTTTACAGCACGGTAAACACGAGTGCTCCGAGCGAGGGATGGATAGCGAGTGCCCCGTGTGCAAGGAGTTCCTCGCCGACTCCGAGACACCGGTCAAGGAACTGCCGTGTGGGCACTTGATGCACGCGACGTGTTTCGCCACGTATACGCGTCACTACTATACGTGCCCTCTGTGTCGCAAATCTCTCGGAGACTTTTCAGTGTACTTCAGAATGCTTGATGCGATTCTGGCGGATGAGAGCGATGACGGCACGCCGGAATCTGTTCGGGATAAGACGCAAAGAGTTTTGTGCAATGACTGTGGAAAAGAATCGGACGCGAAGTTTCACTTCGTTTATCACGCGTGCGCGCACTGTCGCAGCTACAACACACGCGTGCTCACGTACTGATATTATTGCATTTTTTACAAATTCAGCTGCTCGTGTTACGTCCTAAGGTTTGACATCGCTTGCTCGAGCCCTCGTCGCTCGTCCCGAATGTCCATCAACTCGTTCACTTCGCATTCACCCGCCTTTTGCCGCCAAAACGCGATTTGGTCGTTCAACTTCTGAACCTCCTTACTCTCGACGGCTTTGGTCGAGTTGTTCTTTATCGTTCTTACGCGTGTCGCATACGTCAAGGAATTCTGCGTCTCTTCCACGTTACCATCCGTCGGCGAAACGTTTACGAACATCAGCGTCTTCGCGTTACCTCCGAGCGAGTCACTCATAAGCATCGTCAGCTTGTGATTTCTGTACGGAATGTGCTGTTGCTCAGAAGCCAAGGCGGAGATGACGTCGCCAAGCGCAGAAAGTGACTTGTTGATCGCCTGGGCTTCTTTGAGCGTGTCACCCTCGGCTCCTGACTTTTTCACGCGCTCACTCCCAGCGAGATCAACGAAGGAAAGTTTTCCTTTCGTCACCGCTCCCGTTTGCAGGTCCGTGGTCTCCAGGACGAGAGAAAATATCAAGTGCGACCGACTCGATTCAACATTCATCTTCGTCCCCGCTGTCTTGCGGCCCTTCAATCCCGATTGTATGACGCCAATAATCTCTTCTTCGGACCCTACGGGCACAACTGTGGCATTCGGTACGGTCACCCAGCCTTTCTTGTCTTTCTTAATGTCCAGTCGCGGCATCTCGCCCGTACCCGAGGGTAGGAGCAAATCGTTCATGTCGTCGCGGTAGAGCTCAAGCATGTAGCACTCCATCTTCACCGAACACTTGTCCGAATCGCGATGGACGCACCGCATCACCTCTGCGATTGCCCGCGGTGTTAAACCTGGGTTCTCATCGTCACCGTAAATGGTGAACGTCTTGCCACTCCCTGTCTGACCGTAGGCAAATATGCACACGTTGTATCCATCGATGGCGCTCTGCACGAGATACTTGGTGTCTTCGAACACCTGCTCTTGAGATGATTTCGCATCGAACACTTCATCAAACTCATACGACCGATCCTTCTTTTCTCCACGCCAAGGGTGCGAGCATGTGTACTCATCCGGTGTCGCGAGGACAACTTTTTGATTCTGTCCCGCCTCGATCGCCGTGAGCGGACGCGTCCTGGCATACACTCGAATCTTGCCCTTCATGTCTTCCAACATGTTGAAGTATCGACGGCGAAGCGTTGCCTCTGAAGTGTACTTTTCTTCAAGCTCCCTGATCTTCGACGTTTGACCCGCCATAAGATCGCGCGTGGTGGCTTGCTGAGACTCAAAAGTTGACTTGAGTTCGCGCAGCTCTTCGAGTTCGAGCATGACTTCTTTTGTTATCGAAGCTCGTTGCTCCTCGTGTTCGCGACGAAGCGCGTTCATCTCCGCAACGAGTTCACCAATCTTCGCTTCGGCGGTGTGACACTTTTTCGACCAATCGCCGACGTCCGCGCTCTTCTCGTCGGTGATTCTTTTCAACTCGTCCGCGTGCGTAGCTTCGGCGCGTTTCAGCTTTTGTTGCAGAACCACCACCTGTTGCTGCAATTCGTGCGTCTGGGCCTCACTCGTGCGCGCTCGCTCCGTCTCAATGGTCAATTCATCCTGTAACTCCTTAATTTGAATCGCGTTCAAGTCCTCGAGCCTGTTCGATGTGACAGAATCCTTCGACATCGCGGCTTCCTTTGCCTCTTTCAGCTGCCCCTCGAGTGATTTTACTGTCTCCACGATGTCCGACTTGCTCGCTCTTTCGCTCTCCAATCTATCGCTCGCCTCGTGAAACGCTTCGGTAACCTCACGCAATTGCGCCCGCAGCTCTTTTCTCTCTGTCCACAATTCGTCTAATTTACTTCTTATTTCCCGAAGTTCTCTACTGTCAGCCTCTCCTCGCTTCGCCTGATCCACGAACGCTTTGTCAGAAGCCTCCGCGAGCTCGGACGTGGACGACGCTTGGTTTGGTCGCGTCTCAGACGTCTGCACCGCGGCCGACATCGTCGCCGCCTGTTTCTCCGCTACCTTCTTCATCATCACATCGTTGATGTGGGTTTGGAGCGCCAAACAGATATTCTCGCCGTCGGTCGTCTCAAATTGAAACACGTGAAGCGCTCCAGAGACGCGCATTTTGAAAAACACCGCGTGTGGAGCAGATCCAAACTGCATGATGTCACGCAAATCAGCTGTGTAGAGGTATTCCATCGGAACGTCACGGAAAAAGTGCACGCCTCTTTTGTTGACGCCGATCATGAGTTTTCCAGGGAGCAAACCGATCGGATCGTCCACGCGTCTTGCGCGAAACAACACGGAATGACCATACGGGAGCGTTTGGATCATTCGCAACAACCCTTGACGAGCTTCTTCCGAGCTCAACCCTCGTACGGAGGCGTGCTGAGCGACGATGTGTGATGACCACTCCTCTGTCGGTCGCGTGTTCACCATCACGCGCGGCAGGTATTTAGCGAGAGTTTGTCCGAGCGCGGCCGGATCGTCCACGAAGCGTGGCCCCTCCTCCGCTTGCACTTGCAGTGCCGCGAGGAGTGCGGAATCATCACGCGAAAGCGGATAGTTTCCCATGAGGAAATCGTGCTTCGCTTGAACGTAAGAGAGCAAGATGAACGTCGGCTCCGTGATACTCTCGTCAGTCTCCCTGAACATGCGCTTCTTGAACAACAGTCCGGTTTGCATCGATGTCGCTCGGCTCGGCGTCGCTTCGGTCTTCATCTGTCTAACGTCCCCCAATGCATCGCTGAGAAACGCGAGCTCGCCCACGTCATGGTGCTCTTCTGAGAGCAATGCCTCCTTGACCAACGGTGAACTTTTCCCGTAGTACCGTCTCACTGTAAACACTGAAAATGAGCCGTAATTTTGTAATTTGACCGCTCGAGAGAGCTCGCCCACGACCTCTTTAACAGTCGTCGTGATGTCGTACGAAACGTCCTCAAACGTGCCATCGAGAAACGAAATCACCACTCGAAGCTGTTCACCGCGAGCAAAGGCAACGATCTCCTCCGCCGTGGGCTCGTGGCGACGCATCGCGCTCTTGCTCACGCGCTTCATCGTCTCCAGCGTCGATCGAGCGACAGATTGCACTTCACTCGATCCGCGCTCGGACACCTCGTTGACGTACTCGGAAACGAAGCCGATGAAATCTCTCGACGGCGCGAACAGAGCGGCAAACAAACGCATGAGTTCCCACGCCTTGCGCTCCCCTCGACTCGATCCCATATTGCGCGTCGCTCGAACCAACTGCACATACATCTCATCCGCCAACTCCTCTCGCTTAATTACCTCCCGCGTCATCTTTTGCACCCCGTGTGCGAATGTATCCGCCGCGACATCTTCATTCTCACTCGTCATAGTAACGATCAACGCGTTGAGCTTCACACTCTTACTCGTCTGATCGCTCGTCAGCCTCAATAACGAAGTCGTGAGCGCTCCGCGCGTCGACAACGCCTCCGCGATGACACTCCGACGTCCGCGTTCACCGTGCTCCACACCGGGCGAGGACATCGGCGACGCTCTATTCGGCGATCCATCCCCGCGCTTCGACGCCGATCTGGAAAACATCCGCATCGCCCCGCTCCGCTTGTCGCGCTCGTCCCGAAACCGCTCGCTCAGCGCTCCGTGTCGCTCGATCGCGTCGTCTCCCGGGACGTAGCTCGTCACGCGCGACGGTGACTCCATCGCGACGCGTCGACTTTCGAAACGTCACCGTTGCCGTTCGATCGTCCCGAAAGCCGTCTCGATCGTCCTCGAACGCGACGTGTTCGACTGACTATTTTTGTCACGATGAATTTCGTCGCGGAAACAGAGTCAGTGCGAGGTCGATTCAGACGCGTTCGAGGACGCGTTCGATCGCTCGTGCGGCGTTGCACGCGCGCGATGATGCGGTGGATCGCGACGACGGTCTCGATGACCTCGGCGTGACGTGTGAGGTGCGTGACGCGAGCGTTTGGTTGGAACGGAGACAGGTTGTTATGTCAATACGCTGGCGTCGTCATCGAGCGCTCGGTTGGTTAGCGGTCGCAGTGGCGTCCGCGACGCTCGGTGGCCCAGGCGTGATACCAACGCAGAGCGTGATCTCGCGGTGGGCCGGCGAGGACGCCGTCGACGAACAGGGCGTGGGCGTCCGCGGCGTAGACGCCAACGCCGTGGCAGGCGGAGACATTTTTTACGCGGCCTCCGTGCGCCGCGCGTTGCTTTTCGACGTCTTTGGACAGCCGTACGAAGGCGTCCGTGCGCTTGCGGTGAAGACCTAGGGGAGCAATGACGCGCTCGAGTGCCTCTAAGCCCTCGGGGGTGGATCCGAGGGCGATGGCGTCAGCCGCGGTGGGGGCGAGGAGGAATAATCGCCAGAGCACGCGGTCCACCTGCAGACGCGTCGTGCAGTTGAGCATCATGCACGAAACCAAGAGTTTCCACTCGTCCTGCCACAGTATTTCTTCGAGAAGTCCGAACGGACTGAGCGGGGGCGCCCACCAAAGGCGCACAGGCTCAGGGCCACTTCCGCTTCCAGGGGCTGCGTCGACGACGCGCATCGCTGGCTCAGGCGTCATCGGCGGTGTAGCAGCGTCCATCTCGTCCTCATCGAACGCGTCGACGTCTCTCGCCGCGGCCCTTCGCGCGTCTTCATCGTCGTTTTCGTCGTCATTTATTTCGGTTTTCCCGTCGTCATCCGCGAGTGGGTCCGGCGCGAGGCGAAGCGGCGTTCGTGTCTCCTCGGGATCTCGCTCGAACCGTCGCGTAAAACTTCCGCGTACGGGCGTCGTCCCACTCGACGCGTCCGCGTCTTCGTTCCACAGCGCCGCGCGCAAGAGCTCTGTTTGTTCGTTCAAACCTTCCTCGCTCACTCGAGCCTCGCGAATACCGTTGCCACCGTGACTTGAGCGCGGCCATGACAATTTATCGCACTCGATGCGAACTGAGTTCAAAACATCCATTGGATCCTTGAATCGATTCCCCGACGGTGAGATGAACTCAACCATCCATGGCAGATGTTTCAGCGAGCACGCACCGGATGCCGTTCCACGTATGTCCGCGCGCGAGCGGTTGACGGCGGGTATCTCATCCGCTGGCCGCACGGCGAGCTCGGCGCGCCATCCATCGAGCGCTTTGGCGGTTCCGCTCGCCTCAGCGCATCGACACCGCAACACATACAGCTGCCTCGCTGGCTCGTATTCTCGATAATAGCACAAGTGTGCGCACAGATGATGGGGCGATCCCGTCTCCGCCATCACTGGGCACTTATCTCGTAGCTCCTTCAAATCCTTCGGCGGCTCGTCGAACCGTGTCGCCTTCAAATCCAACGCCGCCTGCGTCTCCTCCGCCATCATCCGCGTCCGCTCGCGATCGCGCTCGTACCCCTCCGGATCGATCCTCTTATATAACTCCCTGGCTTCCCGTCGTATTGCCGTCAAATTATCTCGCGCGATCTTCACCTCGGGCGCCCTGGTGTTCACCCGACAGCTCGCGTTGACGTGCAACCGGTGCGTCTCTCTAAGCATGTTCTGCAAAACGTCCCCAGCGCGCGACCGCGTCTCTAAATCCGCATCCCAATCTAGTTTAATTTCCTTCTTAGTCTTTTTCCGCCTCCTGTGTTCCTCGACGTCGAAATCGTCTGCAAATCCGTCGTCATCGTCAACCGCGTCCCGCGCGCGCGGCTCTACCCGCGCCGCGTCGCCGCGAAAGTGTCTCAACACTCCGTGCGCTCGTCGTCGATGTAACTCGTGCGCGTTCTTCACCTTGGCGTCGACGAAGAACAGCTCCAAGTCGATCGACGCGGCGTCGACGGCTTCCGATAGCGAGGCGTGATGGATTTTCGTCGTCGCGTCCAAAATCTTTTTTTGTTTGAACGACGTATTGGACGGTTCTGCGCTCGTCGACGGTGATTCGCCGTCGACTCGGACACCTGGACCGGCGAAGTACTTGCTCCGGACGACCACCGGAGAATTCTCGCTCGTGGACATCGCGCGAGGCGGTGTGAGGACGGCGGGCGCGTGAGGACGTCGGTTACGCGCTGAGCGTTGAATTAGTTACAACAATCTGATGAAGTTAGAATCCCTGGAAACATTCATCGTAGGAAGGGAAGCGCGTCGTTCGACAGCGCTTCACGTTCGGTTCGTCTTCTTCGTCTTCTTCGGCATCGTCGTCGTCGCGGACGCGCTCCCACGGATGGTCCACTGGGACGACGGGCGCCGGTTCGCCTCTCGGTTCGTCCTCGTCGTTCGCGTTCTCGTCGAGATCGAAATCGGCTCTCCAGGAGTATCCTTCTATTTTGGATGCGTCGGGTGGGGGAAACGGCCGGGCGCTTCCCTTTGGTTTCCACGTCTCGTGCGTCTCCATGTCGTCCCAAAAGCTAAACATGACGGTGACTCTTCGAGCGTCTTCCTCATTCGCCGGCGCGAAGTCAGGTCTTCCCGGGATCACGCCGTGGAGATAATCACCGTCAAAGACGACGATGCGACCGTCGCGAGGGTGCACGAGCCATCCTCGCGTGGCGAGCGACGATCGACTCGCGTCATCCTTTTGATTCGTCACCAACGTTGGCCCGCCGCACGATCCGTCCACGAAGACGACGACGGAGCAGATCGGATGCTTGATCCCGTTCAAACCTTCATCGTGCGAGTCGAAGTGCATCTGATGTCCGTGCGAGTGCGGTCGTTTATGGGCCCACCACTCGACCCAGCGCGCTCGAGCCGCGCGCGGAAAACTCTTCGCCGCCACTCTCCGCACGTCCAGCGCCGCGACGTCCATCGCGTTCGTCGACGGCGACTCCAGGTCGTGAACATAACTGAAAAATCCACACGTGTCGTCATCGTACCCGTGTTCTCGCCAAAACGCGCGCTCGCGCCCGACGAACGCGCTTCGAAGCGTCCGCATCGTACTTTCACGCGCCGCGCCGTCGCGCGCCGCCACGATCGTCGATCCCGCCTCGTCCACCGCCGCAACGCTCGAATCTCCTTCACACGCATCATCGTACCTCAATACTTTCTTCCCGAGCCGATGCGTGAACCCAACGAACGCCAACGCGTCCGCCGCCTCGGCGTCCGCCCCCCCCTGCGCGAGCGCGAGCGCCAATCGACTCCCCGCGTCCCGCACGTCCGCGTCCACCGTCCGCCCCACCGCCGACGCCCGCGCCATCGACGCGAGCATCGCCCGTCGCAGCGCCCGCGTGCGTTCGTCGTCCACGCCCGTCGACGCCATCGCGCGCGCTCTTTTCAAATCTACTTTGAGTGCCGGCGTCGATGCCCCTCCGTCCGCGCCGCGATCTCGCGCTCCGCCGCGTCGAACGCGGCGTCCGCGCGCTCGAGCGCGCGCGCGACCCTCCGCGTGAGCTCGCGCTCGAGCGCACCGACGAACGCGCGCGCGCCGTCGCGGACGTCGCACGGCGTCGCCGTGGACGGCATGCGTCGTCGTGTGCGCTCGAACGCGACGTGGGATGGATGTGCGATGCGCCGCCGCATCGCATTCGGGCGAATCGCCGCGCGCGCGCGACGCACTCGACGTCGCGCGCGGATCGAGGGCGGCGCGCGCGCGGTGGACCACGGCTCGGGCGTCGAGCGATGATCATTCCCGTGCGGTGCTTCACGTGCGGGAAGGTGATCGGGAACAAATGGGACACCTACCTGGATCTCTTGCAAGCGGACTACAGCGAGCGCGACGCCCTGGACGCGCTGGGTTTGGAGCGGTACTGCTGTAGACGGATGGTGATGTGTCACGTCGATCTCATCGAGAAGTTGTTGCGGTATAACACGCTCGAACGCGTGGACGGGACGTGAACGCGCGAGGGACGGGCGAGGGTTACGCGCGGCGCGAGACGCGCGAGGCGACGCCGCGCTCGAGGTCGAGGTCGATTTGTGATGGAGAGACGAAGCGAATGTGTTTTTATCGTCTATGCGTTGGTTTCTATTCGTGCGCCGCGCGAGCGCGGTTTCGGGACGTTGACGCGGGGCGCGTTTTTTACCGGGCGGCGACGCGCTTTTGAGACGCCCTGTACGCCGCCTTGCCGGTGCGACTGACGCCGCGGTCGTCCACGAAGGTCTTGACGCCCCGGTCGTCGGTGTACCACCGTGGTTTCGCCGCGACCGTGGCGGACGACGCGGACGCGCGCGAGGCGAACTCGGATCGAGCCGCCGGCCGAGCCTTGGCGCCGGATTTAACGCCGCCGAACTGCGCGGCGTAGTCCACGTGCACGATCTCACCCTCGTGAAACGCCCCCACCGCGAGCTCGCGCACGGGAACGAAGTGCGGCAATCGCGCGCGCCACGGCGCTCGAGACGCTGGATTGTTCGTCGGGAGCGCCGCCAAGCGGCTCGTCGACGGCGCCGACGTCTCTCTCTCGCGCGCGTCGTCCTCGATCGCCCTCGACCGCCCACGATCGCCCCAACCCGCGTCCCACCCATCGTCATCGTTCCACCCATCGTCCGAATCCTCCTCGTCCACGTCTAAATCCTCGTCTACGTCCGCGTCCGTCGTCTCCGCCGGTCGCTCGGTCGTCTCGGCGCGTCGTCGCGCCTCCGCGCCGCGCCTCGGCGCGATCAACCCATCGCTCTCTACATCCACATCCCACGCCTCGGAATCATCGTCGACATCCCACGCCGCGCCCTCGATCGTCGTCGCGCCCGTCGCGGTCGCGTCGACGTCCCCGCGCCCGCCCGCGCGCGCGACGTTCACATCATCATCGTCGTCGCCCCCCCCACCCCCCGACGTCGTCGCCGTCGCGTCCCCACCCGTCCGAGGACGACGACGACGCCCCATCGTCGCGCGCCCGCCCCCATCCGTCGCTCCCGACGCTCCGATCGCTCGCGTCGTCGTCGTCCCAATCGCCCATCGCACTTTGCCGTGTGTTCATCCACGGATGCGCTAAATATATCGCCTCGCGCGCGACGTCAGTGCGTCGCGCCCGTCGCGTCGACGCCGCGGCGCGGTCGGGAGGCGTGAAAAGGCGCGCGCGACGCCCCGGCGACGGGTGAGACGACGCGTGGGAGGGGTGAAAAGGTGAGAATCGCACCCATCGAGACCTGAGACACGACGACGACGCGCATGCGCGACGAACGCCCCGCGCGCGGGCGCGAGCGCGACACCCGAGGGCGTGGACGCGCGCTCGTCGGACGCGGCGTCGGACGAAGCGTCGGAGGAAGTGGGAGCGCGCACGCGTCGGCGCATCGCGGGATCGTCGCGGCGCGCGAGGCGAAACCGAGCGTGCCGAGACCCGTGGTGTTGCCGAGCGTGCGGGCGGAGACGGGGACGAGCGTGGACGCGCGCGCGGTCGTTGACGCTCGACGGACCTGGGGTGGGGTCGGGCGTGGACGCGGTGGTGGACGAGGGGTGGACGGCGGACGCGGAACGACGCGGGCGGATGAGGGCGGCGGCGCGAGAGACGGAGACGGCGACGTCGACGTCGATGCGAATGGTGGGGTGAAGAGGGAGCTCGCGTTGGCGGGTGCGACGTGGGCGCGACGAGACGCGTTCGAGCGCGAGGGGTCGTCCGGGGCGGGACTTGGGGGGAAATCGGGCGACGCGCGGGAGTATCCGGCGCTCGGACGCCGGAGCGGAGAGCGAGGCGACGGCGCGGGCGATCACGGGCGCGAGGACGATCGTGGGATCGGATCGGAGATTGTGAGAGATGTCAGATTATACGCCGGCGACGACGGAGGGGCGCGACGGAGCAGACGAGAAGATGAGGACGAGCGGTACGTCGGACCGTCGCCGGCGGAGAGTCGCGGACGAGGCGGCGGCGGACGCACGTTCGCACCGCGCGCGCTCTTTCGACCGCGAAGTGGCGACGGTGATGGTTGCGACGATAATGATGTGATCCCGGGGATGGAAGACGACGACTCGCGTCGCAGACGCGACGAGGTGAGAGAGGAGAACGGCGAGACGGATGAAGCCGTCTCCGCCGCGCGCGTGGCGTACGAGGAGGAGATACGCCGCATCATGGACGAGCGCGCGGGACATTCCACCGATGTCGGCGACGAAGAGTCGAGCGCGGCGATGAATACGTCTCCGGAGCGCAGAGGGTACGATCCGATGGCGCCGCCAAAGGTCCTCATCAAACCGTCGGCTCTCGCGTCCGCGGGAGAGGACGCGCGCTCGGAACTGACGGTTGCCGCAGCGCCTGCCAGAGTGGAGCGAAACGTGGACACTCCTGGAAGTGATCTGCTGCAGTCCCGAGGCGCGGGTGCGCCGGTGGTTCTACGACGTCCAACACCTCCGGCGCAACCCGAACCGGCGGTCCTGAAGCCGGAAACCGTCGTCGTTCTCAAAAGCGCCGTCGAAGCCGATGATAAGGGTAGGAAGAAAAGAGGAGGGAAGAAAGTTCGCGAGCGTGAAGAGCGCCGTGCGTCTCGCGCGGTGAAGGAGTCCACCGCGGTGCACACCAAACGAGGCGCCGCCTCGGGAGTATCAAGAGCAGCTGAGAGCGACACGAAAGCGTACGCCGGTGGTGCGTACGTTGCGCACCCGGGGATATACGCCGTGCCGTTCTCTGACGCCACCGGTGGATTGTACGCGCCGTTCACTCCGGGCTATCCCGCTGGATACGTCACGAGCGGATACTACGGCTTCCAGTCCGCGCAATCGTGGACTTCGGCGGAATCCGCGACGAGCGACGGGATGCCGTACCCGTACATCGCGCCTCCTGTGACCGTTCCCGCAAATGCACCGTTTGATATCAACGCCACGGGCACGTACGGCGCTTCCGCGGCCGAGCCCACGGAGTCGGTCGTGAACCACCTGACGAAGCGTCTGGATAATCTCCCGACGAGCCTCGGCGCCGAGTTTGGATCGACGGATGACTTGTCGGCGTTCGCGGACGAGTACCGATTAGAGCATGCGCGTTCAAGCGGATCTCCGCTCGCCGCTCGCGGGCACCGATACGACCCATCCCAACAACAACAGCACGCGCAGAATATGCGCGCGCAAAGACAAGAGGTAGAGCGTAACAGACGCCGCCGACAGCGCCCGACGCAGAAACGCGACGCGACGACGAGCGCGTGAATACACGCGACGACCGATGCGCGAGGAGCCGCTCCTGAGAATTCTAATTCATTCACGTAATCATTTCAAAAGCCATCAAAGCCATCCGCCTCGAGTTCGCCCGCGACGGCGACGCCGCGCTCAAAAAACGCCCGAACCCGCGGATCACCCACCAACAGCGTCCTCGCCCCATCGCTCCGCGCGCGCATCGCATCATCCTCCCGCATCGCCGCGAGCATCGCCATCGTCTCCCGCACGCGCGCCCCCACCGCGTCGACGTTCCGTCGCGTCTCTTCGCGAATCAACGCATCGCGCGTCCGAAACCAATCCTCCTCCGCGCGATCCGTCCCGATCGACCGCGCGTTCGCCACCTCTCGACACCGCGGATAACACCTCGGCACCGCCGGGAACGCGCGAACGACGTGCGCGCCCCCCGCGCCCGGCGCGATGGATGTCCTCGAGAAATCGCCGCGGGCGTTCGCGGCGTCCCCATCGCCCGCGCCCTCGACCACCGCACCGTGGACCACCGCGCGACGCGCGCGCGCGGACGCGAGGATAAAAAATCCACCACCCCATTCGCGCCATCGTCGTCGTCGTCGTCGCGTCGTCGTCGCGCGCGCGCGCGTCATTCCATCGCGCGCGAATCGTCGCGAATCGTCGCGTCGGCGGTCCGAACGGGCGACGACGATAAAAACACATCGCTCGACCACACCCGTAGTCGAGCTCGACGACGGCCATGTCGCGCGCATCGACGACCCACGGACGGACCACGACGATAAAAACACATCGCTCGACCACACCCGTAGTCGAGCTCGACGAAGACGATGTCGTGACGACGCGCGCGTCGACCGCACCGCGTCGGCACTCACGCGCGGTCGACGACGCGCGAACGCGCGCGAGGCGATCGAACGGTGCGCGCGCGCGCGCGAGGAGGACGACGACGACGCGCGCGGGACGATGGGTGGATTCGCGCGCGAACGGGACGATCGCGAGCGGTGGATGCGGTGGATGGCGATGGTTTGCCGTTGCGCGCGCGGTCGAGCGCGATCGTCCACGCGGGGAGACGGATGACGATCGACGCGCGGCGAACGGTGGGGAAGGATACGATCGCGTGGGTGTCGGCGTCGAGCGCGGTGGAGAGGGTGCGGAGAGGGGCGCGAGGGAGAGATTTTGGAACGCGGATGACTGACCGCGCGGACGACGCGTCGTTCGATCGATCAGAGATGTCGCAGGACCCGAGAGACCGCCCGAGCGGGCCGCCGTATTTACACCCGGGAATGATGGGGATGCCGTTCCCGGTCGGGGCGCCGGCGATGACCCCGGAGCAGTTTCAGGAGCAGTACGGGGCGACGTTGAGGAGACATCAGGCGCAAATTGCGCACGCGGTGGCGATGAACGCGGCGGCGAGCGCGAATCCGGCGTACGCGGCGCAGCAGGCAAAGTTGAGGGAATTTTGGCGGGAACAGATGATGGAGATCCAGGCGACGCACGACTTCAAGAATCATCTCCTGCCGCTGGCGAGGATCAAGAAGATCATGAAGAGCGACGAGGACGTGCGAATGATTTCGAGCGAGGCGCCGGTTCTGTTCGCCAAGGCGTGTGAGATGTTCGTCTTGGAGCTCACCATGCGTGCCTGGGCGCACGCGCAAGAGAATAAAAGGAGGACTTTACAGCGCGGGGATATCGCGGCCGCGATCACGAAGACGGACATCTTCGATTTCTTGATCGACATCGTGCCCAGGGACGAAGCCGGTGAGGGCGGCGGCGACGACGGCGAGAACGAGGGTCCGTCTGCGCCACAGTTGGGCGCGTTGCCAATTTTCCCACCTCAACAGCTCGTGTCGTCCATACCGGGCGTTCCCGGGACATCCGCGCGTCCTGGATACGCCTTCGATTTTCCCCCGCCCGAGACGGTCGAAGCCGCTCCGAGCGACTCGGCGCCTCCATCGTCCGTCACGAACGACGAGTCCTAAAGTCGCTCGACCGCGCGGCGCACCATTTCCCTCCACACATCACATCACTTCACCTGAAGTAGTCTCCTTTAGCGAAGACGACGTTGAAATAACACGTTTATCAATGCTCGCGAAGACGCGGCCTCGACGCGTCTCTGTGGGCCAAACCCTACTGGGGCTTGATCAAGGTGATTACACGCGACGCGCGCGTCACACACCGTCGTTCGCCCGCCGAACACCGACACAGGACGCGACGAACACTCGCGTCGAGCTCTTCCGCGGTCGCCTCGGTCGCCTCGACCGCTTTCGAGTCGCGTACGCGTGGGTGCAACCCTTTCGAAGGGTTCGTTCGACTTTGACGTCACCATGGCGACGATGACGCTATCGTTGAGACGTTTCGCGGCTCATTCCGCCGCGGCGCGCGCGCCTGGGACGAAGCGATCGCGCACGGTCGTCCGCGGCGTCGTTCGCGGGACGCACGGGCGTAAAAGATGGACGATCGTGGCCAAGGCGGATGGGGAGCCGGCGAGCGTGAGCGCGTCGTGCTCCATCGACGACCCGGCGTCGTGCTCGCTGGCCGATCTTGAGTTGATGTACGTCGACGCGCTGTGGAATTACTACAACGGTGGGAAATTCACGCTGACGGACGAGCAGTACGATCGATTGAGAGAAGAGCTCAACTGGCAAGGGAGCGGGTTTCCGACTTTGCGGAGATACGAGATTGAATTCGTGCAAGCCGCGATCTCGTACTCTCGCGGGGAGGCGGTCGTGGACGACGCCAAGTACGAGGAGTTGAAGCGAAAGGTTAAGGCTGCGGGAAAGCGCACCGACGTGACGGCGCTGCTTCTGTACGCCAAGGGGAAAGAACTCCTCGATGAGGCGGAGTTTGAACTCTTGTCGGGGGAGATGAAAAAGTTAGGGATCGATGTCGGCATGAGAGGGGCGACGTGCACGCTTTCGCAGACGAGCGCGGAACTTTCGAACGATCCGGCGAGCGTGGCGTCGATGTACAGCGCTCTCGCCATCGCGCCCTTCGCCGTGGGATTGGCGCCGAGCATCCTCCTGGGATTTGTCGGCGTCCACCTCCCGGCGTCCCTCTCCCTCGGCTTCGCCCTCACCGTTTGCGCCGCGCTCACGTACAAGCTCGTAGTCTACACCAATCTGCAAAACGCCGAAATTTTGCTCGGCGCTTGCCCGTGCTGCGAGATGCCCATCAAGCAGTTCTTCGGCGGCGAGGCTCCGTTGGAGAAGTTTGAGCACAAGTGCTCCGCGTGCGGCACGGTGTGCACGCTCAACCGACCGCAGCGGCTCATCGAGACCGCTGGTGGTTTAGGCCGCGCTTAGAAGAAGAAGCGTGTCCGTTGCCGTCGCACGACGTGGCGAATGTAATTTGAGCGATTCATCATTGACCAAAGAAATCGATAAATAATCTTCTACTACGTCCCGCGTCTCGTCGCCTTGAGTCTCGCCAGCGACGCTTCGCGCGCAGCGACGCGTTCTTTAGCTATGAGTTCTAACGCGATCGTACGCGCACTTTTAGCGCCCGCGACGAAGAGTAGCCACGACGAGAAAGCCGCTCGTTTTGTCGCCGTCGCCCGCACGCGCTCAATCACCGCGACGGCTCTCTCGCGCGCCGTCCTAGAGGCGAGCGAACGCTCGGGAATCTCCACGTTTGACATAGCTCGACTCCATCGGATCATCACTCGCCTCGCGAGCGCCCGTTCGCCCGCTCTGGAGACCTCCACGCCGACGGCCCAGTGTACCAAACATCGACGAACGCGCTGCTCGTTCGCGCGTCGCTCGATCTCCGATCCCTTTCGCGACAACTCCACGGCTCGATGAAATGACGCGAACGCATCCTTAAGCGCTCGTCTACGCGATCGTTCAAGCACCATGCGAGCGCGTATGTTAAACACGGCGCCTTCGATCCACTTTGCCAACGCGCGGCGCAACCGACTCGCCTCGGCGAACAACCTCGCGCGCTTTTTCTTTTCCAGTTTCGCCCAAATCGCCGCATTTTGCATCCGCTCCCTCTCTAGCGCGTCCTCTAGCTCTCTCACGAGGCTGTCCCGCTCCATCCGTAACGCGTCCGCCTCCGCCTCGGCGCGTCTCGCTCGCGACTCCGCGCTCGAGGCGAGCGCCCGCAGCTCCCTCTCCTGCGCCTCGCTCGCGTCGCGCCAAAACGTCTCCCTCTCCCCGAGTTCCGCCGTGAGCGCCTCGATCTCTCGCGCCGTTCTCGTCGTCGTCGACGCGAACTCGAGTCTTCTTCGCGCGTCCGTCGCTTCCATCGACGCATCCCGCGCGACGCGCGCGCTCGGACGCGTCGACGCCGCGCGTAACGCCTCCACCTCCCGCGCGAGTCCATCCGCGGCTCGAGAGACGCTCGGCGACGCCCCGGGCGCCATGGACCGCGCGCGCGGTGGTGTGATGTTCAAAATTTGGATATTTTGTGCGTCGTCCGCGAGCCCATCGCGCGCGTGCGCGTCAGAATGCGCCGACGCGCGCTCGAGAACATCACGCGCGCGTCGACGTCGATCGCCTCGACGCCGGGCGCGCGCGCGGGCGCGGTGATGGATCGATGTCGGGCGTTTGGCTCGCGCGTGAAGGATGTCAATGAAAAGCGCGGGAAAGTCATCTCTCGCGTTGGGTGGACGCGCTTGGCGCTGGCGACGCGATCGAGGCACGGACGGTCGTTGCCGATCGATCGTCGAGTCGTTCGCGCGGCTCCAGTGGTGAAAGCGAGCGAGTTGGAGACGACGATGGAGCGTCGGGGGACGACGCGAGTGCGCGAGCTGTCGAACGCGCACGAGGGCGTCGAACGGTGGATCGTCTTCAGTGATTTACACGTCAGTAAGCGCACGATGGAGACGTGTCGAGAAGTTTTGAGAAGGGTGAGCGAAGAAGCTCGAGCGATGAAGGCTGGGGTGGTGTTTTTGGGGGATTTTTGGCACGCGCGCGGGGCGATTCCGGTGGAGCCGCTGAACGAGGCGCTGCAGCTAATGTCGAGCGCGAATTGGACGGCGCCGACGATTATGATCCCAGGAAATCACGACCAAGTCACTGCGGGTGGAATGTCTCACGCGTTGACGCCCTTGGCGAAGGCGAACGCTAATATCGTCGTGTTCGATGGACCGACTCTGTACGGCGGAGCGCTCTGGTTGCCGTACCGAAGAAACGCAGACGAACTGAAGCGGGCGATTCAGGAGACCAAAGGAGAGTTTAACGCGATATTTTGTCACGCGGATGTCATCGGGGCATCAATGAACGAGACGTTTCAGGCGCGTGATGGGCTTGATCCCGCGTTGTTCGGAGGTGCGAACACGTACACGGGGCACTACCACAAGCCGCACGTCGTGCCGAACACGAACATCACGTACGTCGGATCACCGTACGAGGTCTCGCGTTCGGAGGCCGGTCAGAAGAAAGAACTTATCGTCTTGGACGCACGCACTTGGGTTGAAGGCTCCAACACGCGAGTTGAGTTGAACATCGGTCCCAAGCACTTTGCCGTGGAGGGACTCGACGCCGGCGTCCCAACGAGCGCTCGCGCGGGCGACATCATTCGATGGACGCTCCCGATCGAGATCCTTGATTCCGTGTCCGATGCCACACCGTCCGCTATTCGAAAGGCGCGAGATGATGGTTTCATCGTGGAGGTGTGCTACACGGCCAAGGAGCTTGCCGCGCGTATACCAAAGGCGGAGGAGCTCGGACCGACGGGTCTGTTCGATGCGTATGCGGTCGCGAGCAACATGACGCCGAGTGTGAACGATTTCGGCCGCGAAGTCCTGCGCGAGGTCGCGAGCGCCGATGATGCACCGGAAACGCGAAGAGCGGCCAAGGGTGTGAGCGTCTCATTCGCCGCCGTGGAGCTGGAAGGCTTCGGGACGTTTCAATCAACCACGCGGTACGCGCTCGGATCGAGAGGCGTGTGCGTGGTCATCGGCGAAAATCGCACGGACACGTGCTCAGACTCGAACGGGGCGGGCAAGACGACGCTCGTCATGTCGCCAATGTGGGCACTCACAGGACAGAGTGATTTAAGGATAGACGGCGCGGGGTCGGGTAAATCACTGACGAAATCTGACGTCGTCAACGACTCGACCAAGTTCGGTCGGGTTCGTTTGGAGGGGCATTTGAACAATGGAGTTCCCTTCTGGGTCGAGCGCAAGGTGAATAGAACGAAACTCGTCAGTCTGAAGTACGGTATCAATGGTGAGGAGAAGACGATGGCGGAGTCTAAGCTGACGCAACAGGGCATCAACGACGATCTCGGCGCAGATGTCATTGCCAACACGACGTTTCACGGACAACATACCGTCGGCGCGCTCTTGGATGCGAACGACGCGACGTTGAAGGCGGCTTTGGGTAAACTTGTTGAAGCCGACACATGGACAAAAGCGAAGGACATCTCGAGGAAGCGGGTGAGCGAGATCAAGGGGACGATGAGCGCCATCTCTGCCGAGGTCAAGGCCAGAGAGGATTACATCGCTCGCACGCGCAGTCGTCGCGACCAAGCGCTCCGAGAGAGCGAGAGTTGGGAACAGCAGCGTCGTCGTCGAGTCTCGGAGCTCGAGGCGAGCTCGTCGGCGGCGTCAAGAACGTTCACGCACTTCCTATCAATGACGAATCACTTTTTACAGAGACTACAGCGCGTCGGTGAGGCACTCGAGGTGACTTCGTCGCAGGCGGAGGGCGTGATCGACTTGTCGAGAAACAATTCGGCAAACGCGGCGAAGATGTTCGAGGTGAAAGAATCGGAGTTAGAACACAAGATGGGTGTCATCGAGGGGGAGATTGAACGACTGAACGCCGCCGTGCGCGAGTGGCAGGCGAAGGAAGCGAGCGCCGGAGCCGTCGGGCGACAGTGCCACACCGCGGTGGGCATGTTCGTCGGCGCTGACGGCGGCGCGCACTCGCATCCAAACGGCGTGGGCACTTGCGATCGCTGCTTACAGCCCATTGATCCGACGCATCACAAGCAAACCTTAATCAAATTGAAGGACGAAGCCCGCAAGGCGGCGTTGGAACACGGTCAGACGATTAAGGAACTCGAGCGCGCAGTGGAGGCGCTCAATAGAGCGATGGAGGGGAGACGCAAACTCTACGACGACGCAGCTTTGGCGAGGAAAGCCGAACGGACACGCGTTGAATCGAGCGCGACCGCCGCGTCAAATGCCACGGATCAACTGAGGCAAGCACAGCGATCTCTGAGCATCGTCGGCGCCGCGGTGTCACGTGCGGAGATGCTCTTAAATTCTGCTCCCGAAGACGCCGTGCGAGAGGCGTTGACGATGTCTCTGGACGACGCGTTTACGGCGCCAGCGGCGCTGTCCACACCGAAGGATTCGCCATCGAAGATTTTGGCCGGGATGAATCCGGATTTGATGGGCGTCACATCGTCCACGCAGTCCAGCGCGACGAAGACGATGATCGTGGATGCCGAGCGCATGAATGTTAACGACGTTGAATTCGTGCGTCGATTGGTGAAGAGCGCCGAAGACATCATCGTCGACGGCGAGCGCGCCGCTCGCGAGGCCTCGCGAAGACTCCAAGAGCTGAACGAGTTTGCGTCCACGGCACACACGAATCCGCACGCGAGTGCGCTCGAAGAATTGGACGCGCAGCTCGCGAGCGAGTCGGCGTCGCTCGAGACAAGAGTGGAGGCGCTGAACGAAACTAGCGAACTTCTCGCGGTCGCCCAAGCCGCCGACGCGGCGTTCGGGACGAAGGGGATCCAGAGTTATCTTTTCGAGGGTGCGCTTGGCGATTTGAGCGCGCGCGTGCGTCAGTATATGGATGCGCTCACGGGTGGCGCGTTGTCGCTCGAGCTTCGTCCAGCTGGTGCCGGCTTTGCGGCGGACGTCGACGAGACGAGCGATGAGACCGACGACAGCGATGCGGACGACGACAGTGAGAAGAAGAAGACGCGTAGACGAAAGAAAGCACCAGAACCGCCAAGCGCGAGCGCGGCGGAGCGTATTGAGCGCGTCATACACGCCCGTCGCCACGACGGCGTCATGGTCCCTCGATCACTTCGGCAGTTGTCCGGTGGCGAGCGACGACGAGCCGCACTCGCGCTCGCGCTCGCGTACGCCGATCTCGCCTCCGAACGATGCGGTGTTGCGTGCGACACCTTGGTTCTAGACGAAGTCGTGCAACACCTCGACGCCGAGGGCATTTCTCGCGTCACCAGCCTCTTGCGAGCGCTCCCGAAGAAAACGGTTCTGTTGACGAGCCAAGCCGACAGCTCCACCGCGCACTTATTCGACGTCGTGGACAAAGTGGTGAAGGGCGTCCAAGGTTCGTCCGTCGCGATCGCCTCGGGAGCTGACGTCGATTGGGAGGAGGAGTTGAACGCCTCCGAGCGCGCCTGAATCGAGCGTAGAGTTGTTGTTACACACAAACCATCAAAAATTGTCGAGACCAATTCCGCGCGTTCCGTTCACTCGGCGCCCTCCTCGAACCGCTTCGTCGCGCGCCCCTTGCACTGAAACGCCTTACGCTTCGCCTCGAACAAACGTTTCTTCGTCACCTCCTCGTCGTCCTCTAAATCTTCCTCGTTTACGTCCGGATCGTGAAACCGCACCGGCGCGCGCTTATTCGACCCTCGTTCCGGCGACGCCGGAACCGCCGATCCCGAACGCGCTTCCCCACGCATCGTCGATCGTCCATCCGCCTCCATCTCGACGTTCCCATCGTCCCTCTCCACCCCCGCGCGCTCTCGCACGTCTCGTCGCACCAACGCGTCCAACTTGGCCAAAACCTCTCGATGCGTCCGCTCGCGCTCCGCCAACGCCTCCGCCGCCCCCCCCGAGCGCTCGCGCCCTACTTCTCGGTCGTCGTCGAGCACTAAATCGTGAAACAACTCCCTCGGCGGCGAGTGCCACGGGGTTTCGATCTCATCGATCGTCATCGTCGCGCTCCGCTCGGCGAAATTCTTCGCCAGATTATCTTCATCCCACGCCACCCCACGCGTCGGTCGCGCGTCGCGTCCCATCGTCCGCGCCACCGCGCGCGCGCCCCGTGGACGCCGTCGACGGCGTCGAGCGATGCCGTCGCGCGTGGCCGTCGTCGCGATGCCGTCGGTCGCGCCTTTCGTTTCCCGAACGCCTTTCAATTCCGCGAAAATCACCTTTCGAGGCACCTTTGAAGAAAAAAACACCGGTCGCGACCGACGCACCGATCGGATTCCCGCGCGCGCGCGCGTCGACGACGACGACGACGGCGACGATCGACGCGGACGGGCGCGCGGGACGTCGCGCGCGGCCGTCCGCGTCGGAGATCGCCCGTGTGGTGCGCGCGGCGACGACGGGGGGTGGATCGACGACGACGCTCGATGCGCTCGCGCGTCGATCGCTCGTGACGTTCGCGCGGGCGACGGCGGGCGCGACGACGGATC